AATGTGTGCTCCTACCAGAGATCAGTTTCTTCCTGGGTGTCAACAGTACTCCACAACAGTGGAGACCAATGAGGCCAAAATAAACGGCAGCAAAACAGTTACTAATTGTTTAAATACTTCACCCTTTAAATGTTTTTAAAAACAGCAAAAATATAACAAGGTTTAAAAGAACTAATGGAATGCTAAAAATAGCAATGGTCTCCCTAGCATAAGTTTAAATTTTAAATATCCATTGCAGGAACTTCTTGGAGCTTTGTTCACTAAAGAGAAGTTTAAGGACCTAAGTACTGTTCCCTTTTTGCCTACGGGTGCCATTCAGCGCTGCAATGTAGCAATGCTGTCATAACCCAACATTTTTAGTTAGTCTGTTTATTCTTGGCATCAAAATTAGTTCAAGGAATGAAGAAAAACCCGACTGATTTACTTTTTCAAGAAAGCGGCTCAGTTTGTTAGTAGTCTGGAAATTTATTTTGTAAGGGGGTCTAAATTCCCACTGAAATTAAAGAATTTGACAAGAGATCCAAGGAGCTGCAATAGAAATTATGTTCAAAGCAGTGCAACGAGCAAGCATATCTAATATTGTATGTTAAGGCAAGGCAGAAGTGCACCTGGCAGGCTACAGGCTAGTAAAGACGTACTGTCCAAGGGTGTATTGCCATAAGTGAAAGTTAGCTAGGCACACATCCCTATGATAAACCAAGTTAGGTGAGAAGCTGTTGGAGCTCAAATACTATTGCCATACAAATATTGATGGTGATAGGAAGCTGGAAGAAGTAAGAAAAAAACCCACCCTGCTAAAAGAATACATAATTCAAAAAAAAAAAAAAAAAAAAAAGGAAAAACAAAGAGGAGAACATGGAAAGGATAGAACCACCATGCCAAGGCACCCAGCACATAGATACTATAGTAAGGGCAGTGGATGGTGTAAAAAGATAGATACAAATTCTTCCTAGATGGCTTCAGTCAAAATAAATTGAAGCTACTAAAATAATGTTTCTGCTGCTCTTCAGAAACTTTTCTGAGTTTGTGATTTTATTATCACAAAATGATAATACTGCCACCTTCTGATTTCAAAGTCTTTGAACATTAATCGCAGGTAAGACAGGGTTGTTGGTTGTAACCGTGTTGGTCTAAGGACACAGGCAGGCAGGGTTCTTTGGGTAGATGCGATATCTTTTATTAGACCAACTAAATATTTGGAAAAAAGTTCTTTGCAAGCTTTCGGGCACAAACAACCTTTGTCAGGCATAGGGAGACTTTGCATAAGACAGTGCATCTGCCTGCACAAATACATCTGAACTGCTGCACAGAAATCTATTACAAGTAAGAGAACTAGCTATATACTTTGATGTTCTAAAATTTGAGAAAAACTCTTTGAAACTTCAGGTATAAGAGACAGACTAGGGCAGAAATGACACCTTAGAAACTAACCAATTTGTTTTAGTTATGCATCAGGATTCAATGCAAGGAAAATGTTTAGAAAAAACTCCGTCTGCGGGCAGAAGTTAGGTCTTTAAGGCTGCTTGCAGATGCTAAAAAAAAAAAAAAAGCGGTGCTTTAAACTCCATGCATAGATCAGGTGCTTGCGTAAGGCATTTTTGGTGCCTTTATCTAATAGCCAATTGAATCAACTTTAGCCAAGAGAACCAAAAAGCTCCTGAAGCACCTGATCTACACAGAGGCTGCAGAGCCTAGTCAAAGTAGCATGTTGCTTCTTCCAGCAAAGCACGGTTTGGGGATGGGGGGTGCTGGGGGGCCCATAGGGGTTTAATGTCTGCAGGAAGCCTAAAGGTGCCAGCCTGCCCTATCTTCTGCCTCTCTTCAGAACAACATGGCTAACCAACCCTTTACTCATGAAAAGATTCAAAAGTTTCACTTCAAAAAATCAATCCCTTTCTCCCCTTATGCGGCATCATTATTTTACTTTCCAAGCAAACCACTTGGTCTAAATATTTAGAAAATAATGTCAGAGAAGTAGAGAAAAGGCAGTGATTAGTTATACCACTTACCCAATATACTGCAGTGGATGACTCTGATGTATAACAATTCTACATGTTGGACAAGTGTTATTTTCCTCCAAATACTTCACCAGGCAACTTCTGCAGACTGAGCACAGAATCATTTAAATAAGGAAGGTAAGAAATAAAAATAGTATACAATTGTATTCTTATAAAAGTTACGAAAATGATTTACGGAACAAAATATTTTCTCACGTTGCATGCAATTCAAATTTAACCACTTAAATCTTATTTAAACAAGTTTCTAATCTATGATTTATTAGTACACAGTATCCATTGTATCTTATGGGTGTTCTGAATATAGGAAAAAATAGGAAGTTATAATGAAAGAAAGAAGGAATTATCAAATTGGTCTTACTGATAAACATGTAAAACTTCTCAGAAATCTAAGAACAGACAATTTAAAACTTCACTTCTTAAATTACAGTACTCTTTCAACAATATTAGTAACTTTGTAGCTTCTGCTCTGGAAACAACATAACATAAATGCTGTTAAGGGTATGCAGTCAGACATGACTGCATCGTACGTGACGATTTTAGCACTAAGTAGCTCAAAAGTACTATAAAAATGAGCATATAAATGCACAATGCTACAAAACAATTCAGATTGCATCAAAAACGGGCCCAAATGAAACACTAACATCTCTGAAATACTTCACAATAAAGTATGTTTGTTCTTCCCACCAAAGCTTAACAGGGAGCTTGTCAGCTGAGCAGCAATCATAGTTTGCTTTATTTCACCACTCCCCTCTCCTTGAAGTGACCCGTCTGACAAATATAATGCTCAGGAGTCAGAGGCCCGGCATTTGGTGTGACCTTATAAAAGCAAGGTACAAAGGCAAACCACTGTCTCTGTATACTGGATCACCACCCTGCAAGTTTAGCTTCTACAGCACAGAATGTCCGAGTCCATGAAATTCTCCATCAACCAGAGGCGAGAAGAGAACTCATCATTCTCTCAAGAAAAACCAAAGTCAGGTCATTTGCAACCGAACTGCAGCTATGATGATAGCTGCTAGGGCACAATTAGGGTATAATCAGTCCCAGGCCAAAGTGAAAATCCTGAAGACCCAGTACCATGGGGATCAGGTTGTCAACTGATCAACGTGGCCTTACTATAAGAAACCGTCCCAGATTTGGCTCAGTAAAGCCCTACTTTATCACTGACTCTGAGGTAGGTCCTGAGTCTGAGGGGGCACCTGCAGAAGCCAGCGGTGGTGGCAGGGACGGGGCTGGCGAGCCCCCGCAGAAGCCAGTGGCGGCAGCAATGGGGCTGGCAAGCACCCACAGAAGCCACCGCCGGCAGCGGGGACGGGGCTGGTGAGCACTCACAGAAGCTGCCAGCAGCGTCAGTGGTGGTGGATGGCCCTGTCACAGGAGGCATGTGCCCCCCCACCCCCGGCTCTCCCTGCCAGTCGCCTAGGGTTCAGAGACATTTGGACAGATATGGTACAGATTAGGAGGGTCATGAGGAGACTGAACCATGAGAATACCAGGAAATCCCTCCCTCTGGTTAGGGAGTACCGAGAAGGAAATGTATCAAATATTGGGGTGAACCAAATAAGCACCTTACTCATCCTCCCAGGCACCAGTCACCTGGAGGGATATCCTGGACAGCCCGACACAGAACTTACAGGAAGGCAACAGTACACCCACACTCCAGCAACAAAACTACTCAACCCGCTCTTC